AATCCATCTTCACAATGACAGTCTGGTTTGCTTTTGTAGGTTATAGACAGGCATCAGATCTAATTTCAGTCTGTTTCATTACCAGCTAAATAATCCTCACAGGAGCTTTAATATGCATACCGAGTTTAGTGACAAAATAGACGAAACAATTCAGTTTTTATTGTTTTTAAAGGAGCAAATGCTCACGGTTAAAACGCATAATCGCTAATCTCAAATAGTTTTCAATTCTGTTTATGGAACTACAAAATACACACAATCATTTTTTAAGGTCTTTGCCTATATGTTCAAAGCACCAAGCAGCTTTTTTAATGCAGATCTCCCTCCTTCCTTCATCCAAGTATTAGCAGTCCAAATCACCTATAAACCTCTCACACAGCAATCCACTCACGATTAATGAAGTGCTTACTTAACCAATTTAAACCCTTAATTCCTATTAATTCAACATAATAGCCACCCTCTCTGCTAGAATTAACAACAGTGGAGCAGAAACTCCCAATTCTCTGCAGGACACGAAGAGTCAAGCCAGCAAATTCCACATCCTTTGATAAATATGTAACAGTATGTATATCACTGTTAAAATGCATAACCCTCGTGTAAGACCCCTATCAAGTCTGCTTTACACCTGTATTCCATTTCTCTCTCAATCAGCAGCTTTTCTCAGACACCGGCCTCCCATGAGGAGCAGAAACCATTACAAGGGACTGCAGCTCATTTGCAGAAAGATTGGAGATCACGCTGCATCAAAAAGTATGTGAAGCATTTCTTCCAACCAAATTGATTTATTCCATTTCTATGTTTGTATGCAGCATCAGTATCAGTGTGTTTAATGTAAATCCCCAGTCAAGCATTGAGTTGCTGCATAGGTTGCTGCTTATTGTGCAAGTAAGAAGCAGAGCAATCAAATAACATCACGGGGACTGTTCTGCTGCAAAATGAAGGTACGTGCTGTATTTTTTTATGTAGAATATTTTGTCTTGAAGTACACAATGAAACCCATATGCAATGTGATAAATTATATCAATCAAACAAAGCCATGCATTATGGCCTTCTTCAGATCCACTGACGCCACTTGTTTAAGCTACAAAGACATTAGCCCACTCTTTGGTGAAATAAAAAAAAAAAGGCACAAGTAAATAAATAAATATTTCAGAATATTTCAATTTTGACTTGGGAAAAACAGATCAAGCAGAGCCCGTGGCTAGAGGAGCCTGACTGCATGCTGGTGGGGGGTAAAAGACAGCCTGGGGGGTGTGGAGGGCGTCTGTTTTTTAATGAGCTGAAACTTTAAATACTGCATAATATATAATAAAAATGGATAGTTCATTTAACCCTCCCGATAAGTCGTGGAAAAACTATTAAAATCCATTACTCTCCTAATGTCAACAGAGTAAGCATTAAGTATGAATGAAGGGAACAAGGGTAGCACATCATCGGTAAGAAAGAAAAACAAAACAATAATCAACTTGAACTGAAAAAAAAAAAGGGGTTTGTGCATAAAGTTAAGTGTTCAAGCTGAAGGGCATTTTCTAAGAGAGTATAAAAGCAACAACCATGAAAAGACGATACCATTTTGGAGCAACTGTTAAAAGAATACAAAATTTGCATGTTTATCTTGCTTTATAATATATATAGGAATGTTGATGTGTCCAAAATTGTTTTTACCGCAACAGAGTCCGGTTGTCATCTGGGAGTGGTCGTCAACTAGAAATGCTAGAATACATGATTGACAGTTATTTCAGCCACCCACTGGCTGCTGCTTTGGCAACACTGATTGGCACAGCAGGCAAAGTTTTTCAACGCTCCCTCTCTATCCACCACAAGCACACACGCTCTCTCTCTCTCTCTCTCTCTCACTCACACACACACACACACACACACACACTAAAGGACATGTCATGAAGATAAAGAAGGAAGGGGGGTTGTGAAGAAAGAATTATGGTACCTCCATCATCCCTTGGGTGAAGAAATACACCATAATAGATTTTTAATGGCTTTAGTAGGATATCCTCCACCAAAGGAAAAAAAAAGTTACTGATTCCTTTGATAATTAGAAGAGGTCAGAAGCTATAAACTACTGTAAAACATCTTTTAAAAAAGTAAAAATGTTGACACTTGTGAACTTAAAATTGCAGAGCCGATAAAAGTGTGCAAGTGCCTGCAAATACAGGTTTGTATAGTTGAAATGTAATGAGCTATATGTTTCAGCCAGTCACATTATTATTCAAAGAGTGCCATTTCACAGTGAATGTAGTGACGATGTTGGCTGACACCTCTGCATTAAGATGTAATTCCAACATGATCCTAAAGTGATCTGAGTGATGGCTCCGGTCCCCCCTGCTGCTCATGCAGTAAGCAGGGAGACGGTGCTGGTGGCCGATCCAGAGGCTCAATAATGATAACCTCGCCAGCATTAGCTGCAGGGGTTGTTCACACAATAATTGTTTCTGCCAAGCCATATATCTACATGACAGAGAAAAAAACTGCTGTGGCTTTCCTCCTCTAAATAATTGATTTTAAAAATCGGCTACATCAGTTATTTCAAGAAGATGAACATAGTCCATACTTTTTCCTTCTTTTTTTTTTTTTTGCACTGAAGAAACTGAGAACTTATTAGCAAATTAGAAGATAATTACAAGTCTCTGCAAGTTGATTAGCAATTTCACTGTTGAACATTAACAATTTACGGCAACACTACACTCAATTTCAGCACTTGTTTTGCTTTACTTACCTAAATTCTAAACAGCACAAGTATTTAAAGATTTCACCTTGACAAAACTTATTACCAGCGTCAGCATGCAATTAAACTTGCCAAACAGCCATTAATTCTTTGTTCATTACCACATTAGATGTGTGTCGGGTAATTTAGACACTTCAATACAGGACAGGACTACAGGAGCTATTAAAGACATCAATCTGGCATTAAATCCTGATATATTTTCTTAATTTACAGCAGCTCATTTGCAGTGTGGATACTCTAGACCTGCACAGGCAGTGACTGAAGTCTCACATGTGTAATGCTAAGCCTGTGCCCCAGCTGAAGGGACGCCCTCCCCTGCAGTTTAGAGTGACTCAAAGGTGAAGCCCTGAAAATGAATACAATGTACTCACATGCTCCACAGTTTAGATTTCACTGACTCACATCATCCTGTAATAGCCGCACACAAAGCTGCAGTCAGTCGTGAACCTCATGCAATTGTGTCTGGCTGTATGTGGTGGTATCAATGCAGCTCATGGGTCAAAGGGTCAATGAGTAATTAAGACATGGTTGCCTGAGCATTCCCCATGCACACTTTCAGTCCTGATGAAAGGAGGGGGATTTAAGTGCAGCCCGATACCACAGATCAGATTTCCATAAGTGTGTCTAACTGCTCCTTGTTCAAGGCAATTAGTATGATTAACAAAGTGTGTGGTGTCATCGGGTTCTTTAAGAGGACTTAACACATGAATTCTGCATCAGGTTGAGACATGTTGCACACCATAAAGATTATGTTGCTTGATATAAAACCATACACTGTTCTTTCAAAAGATTCTGAAGGTTTTTGTAAATTATGAGGGAATTTAATGTTTATTGAAGGTCTTTCTTAGTAATCAATAACTTTACTTTGAGGACAAGGCAGATCACCATGTTTTTTTGTATGAATCAAAAGAATATGTGGAGAATCGTGCAGCAGATTCTCAGACTGCTGTTCCCTTTGATTTTTCATGTCACTTTATTTGGCTGATCTGCGATGGGAAAGAATAACAAGAATTTGTGGATACCTCCTGATCATTTTAACAGTAACAGCAAAAAAATGCCAATCACTTGCACAATCCTTAAGAGGTTCAGGAAATGGAAACAATGACTATCCTTAGGATGAGAGGGAAATTGTACATTGCATGATAGAAACGGAATAAAGAACATGTTTACTGGTGGTTTACACTGCTCTTCCTCACTGCTTAAAATGTTATTTACTTCCCTTCTGTCTTCTCTGACAATGATGTATGATAAAAACTGTCCATAAAATATTATGGAGATGTTGTCTGGAAATTGTAAATTATACCTGACAACAAAGTGTCTATTGTATACTATTGTTATAAAAAGACTTAACAAATCTAAGTGCCAACTAGAGTTTCTAGGAAGTAGTTGTTTTTTGTTGCTTGTAGGGAGAATAGGTGATGGTAGTGCTAACCTAATTGTTCAAATGAATGCATGGGGTTAGGAAGGAGTTTTCTTTTAAATTGTGTTTTGCACCACCAAGTTAAGTGTTCTTCAATGAGGAGAAACAGTTTTACAAAAGAAGATCCTCGTGAATAGGCTGTACATCATGGAGAGCATGTAAGCCGATATCACGGCCTTCAAGTGCAGAGAAGGTCAAAAGGTGCATTGATTTACATGTACAACAAGAAATTATTTGTTGGCTTTCATTGTTGCTAAAAAAATGAAGAGGCCAAGGCCGGAAAATTGAGGTCGCTGATAAATGCTAATAGCAGGAGATGCTGAGGGGTGAAGAAATCAATACGGCAGTTTGTCAAGCTGCGTCTCAGAGAGGGCACGACGGCAGCAGCAGTGAGCGTGCCCCGTCAGCACAGCACATTACCAGAAATCAAAGGCCGGAGAGGGCCTGAAGGAAGGGATGGAGATGTCTCTGTACAAAGGGCACACTTAGGTAATTAAAACCTATTTTATCAGACCTGTCTTGTCACTGCTTTTTCTCTAACACTATTGACTATCTGTTGCATGCAGAGTGATCACTAATTTACCTTTAAATAAATGAGCCAGAGTTATTTAAATTCCTGCATTTGTCACACAGAATGAAGCAGAAGACATGGGAGTATTGAATAAATTATGCCACTTGGTACTACTTGGATGAATTATTAATAACCTTTGAGAGATGGGCATTGAAGGAAATGCTGTCCGTCTTATTTAACATCAGTTTTTCCAAACGTTCCTCTGGAGGCTGACCCTCGTAATCTAGGCATGCAAAGTCCGTGTGGCAAAAAAAGAAAACATCACAGCCAAATACAATGTTTTTCCATATTGAAAAATATCCTAAACATATTTTGATCACAATTTCATACACTATTATATTTTTTTTCAAAATTCTTAAAACAGATTTATTGTGAAGACAAATGGCTGATACGACATTCACAGACTCCACTGTGAAAACATCCTGGAAAAGTCTCAAGTCTATTCTCAGAGAAATCCTAAACTTAACATTAAACTTTAATGGAACGTAAACTTTCCAAATAAACACTGTCGGCATTGTATGTCAATGTTACAACACGCATAGCTGACTTCTTCCTGAAACTTTCAAATCTTTAATAATTAAACACAAAATGAACCTGTTCAGACAATGGAAGCACTAATGACACGTTTGTCAAGAGGTACACCGCAGCATCACCTTGGGAACGGTTCCAAATACAGCAGCGTAGTCGATGTGAGCTTCTTTTAAACACAATCAAACGGTGATTTCTTCATGGTCTAGTCATAGACTGTATATATTAATTTATGCAACCACTGTCAAGTGTTCTCAGTACTGTGCACCGTCTTCTTCTTTGTAGGCAAAATAGACTGTGACCGGTCCAACACTTGTCTGCACCGTTTCCGCAGCGCCCACCACCATCCAGCAACCAATGCCATAAGCCAAACAAGGGATACCTGAAATAAAAAGGAGTTATGTTTAGAATCTGAGGTGTTTGAAAATATAATGAATTTGTGTCATGCAATCATGTTGGATTAAAACATTTTTAAAAAAGTACCGACCCAGATTAATTACTTTCAACACAGTGAAAAACGTGTCTTCAAAGTCCAGCTTCTGTGGAGGTGCTTTGGAGCAGTGGTATTTAATAAAGGGGAAGCAGCCTGTTCTCAGTATGTGGTAGTTGGAGCCTTCAACCCTCCAGTTAAAATGAGACAGTCCAAACTGGTCATTGTGGACGGAGCTGTAGCGGACACAGAAGGAAGTCCACGGAGGGAGTTTTCTCTGCTGGAGGTGGCAGGTCAACACCTCTGAGGCTGCAGGCCGTGGACCTTTCCTGGCAAATGTGCTTGGAAGAAGGGCGACCTTCAGAAAGATGCTGTGCACCTTCCTCAAAAACCCCTTCATGATTAAACTACAAGCAAGAGTGACTCACCTGTAGACCTATTTGCAACCACAGCTGGACATGTGCTTACCTTTAAATTAAATGTTCAACATTAGTAATCCGGGGATATACAACAGTATGACATGCTGCAGGTAAACATACTGTAGCAGTGGTGAAAAGGTCGATGCTGCACACGGGACTAATAAGAGGAGCTAACGACCAAGCTAAACATGAATTACCCTGCTGTAATATTAGGCTAAACATGCCAACACATATTTACAATGTGGTGGGGGAAAAAAAAACGCTCGACGCGCAGCAATGCTACTTTGTGCAATGTTTTCACTACTTGCTCTAACCTGGTACTCCTGCCAATGCCGTCCGGCTGGAAACTGAGCGCTGCACATGTGTTCCTCCAACAGGAGAAGAGGCTTGTGGAGTTAGATCAGTCTCAATATTCACAAGTGCACACAGAAGGATTCACAAATGTATTTCAATGCACACACATATATATTTCATTCTATATAAATGTAAAACAAATCCACACATTAAAAAAAAAAATAAGATTCACAAATGTATTTCTGATTCACACACAGTTGTTTTTTTATATATGTAATAGAAATCCACAAATATATAAACTGTTCAGTCTGCATTTACAAACTGTTTGACATTTGTGAACCTCACTGCATTTGTGTGTGGGATTTTTGAGACTCCCCTGCTGTGGTTAGATTCACAAATGCATTTTTTTTTTTTTCAGCAGGGAAATGTCTGTAGCCAATCAGATGTCAGATTATCTGCATTCTTATTCCATGTGCTCACCTGTACAGCGTACATTATGATCATGACTCCTGTGTGAAATCACGACTTTACAGCCTGTACTATACTCGCAGCCGACAAACATCAAAACTCCATATTAGTTATGAATGGTTCCTATTATTGGAGAAAGAGGCACATCTTCTTGTAATACATATTAGAGACACTCGAAGTTGAGACATTTCCTGAAATATATTATCAATCAACATACAAGAGTCCTCTGTGGTCAGTGTTACTTGTAAGCGGTCCTATCATAGATTGACAACTAAACCAACTTTAGTTGGTTTAGGCAGATTGATAACGTTTGGCGCATCAAAAGCAAACAACTCAATGTAGTAGGCCTTTACATTCACACATTATACACTTTTTGATAAATAGATTAACAAACTGTAAATACTTAAAACGATACTGTATGTAGGCTAGAGAAATATGGATGTTTTTGAGTGATAAAACATTCAAAAAAACTATTTTAAAAACACTTAAATGCCTCTCGGCCTGTGTGATTTCCTTATCATTTAGTAGTAAGTGTAGAAAACTGTGTATGAACCTGGTATGAACTCAAGATTAATATTTTTATAAGATAGAAATTGACACGTTACAAAAACAAAAGTCACTTTAAATGATGTTCCTCTCTCAAGGTGTAGAGGTGCAGCTGTGAAATGAGGCTGAAGGGTTTGATTTGTGCCTGAGTGAAATAAACAACACAAACATTATTGCTGCATAGTTTATGTCCGTATATTTATTGTAAAATCATGTATTGATATTAGTTGCTAATGTGGATTACTGGTTAGATGTAAAGCATGAATTCAAAAAACAATCTCAATCATGACATTTTTTTAACATCGTTAACTGCGAACACTGACATGTTAGCCTTTCCATTAATACATTTTCAACAAAAAATATACTGAATTCCTGAAACATTGTATTTCATGATTCACCATGTGACAAAACGATAGTCTCTGACTTTACGGATTTTTATTATTTTTTATTTAACCTTTATTTATCCAGGAAAGTCCCATTGAGATTAAAAACCTATTTTTAAAAGGAAGTCCTGGCCAAGAGGCAGCAACAGTTACACAGTTACACTCACATCATACAGACAGGATGATAAAACCTTTTGTTATAAAATGTCATGACAGACTGTGACATGTTTTTCAGAAGTTTATTTGACTATCACTACGGGATAAATCATGTTAATGTTTGCACAGCTTCATTCAACATTAAAGCAAGCAGACACACGATGACGCAACTTGACTCGAGTCAGGCAAGTTTACGAGTGAAGCAACTGTTTAAGCAGCAGTTTTATCCTCCAGCGCTCTCATCTTGTTCTGTGCAATCTGCTGCAGTACTTTTTCTATTTCCTTGATCAGCTCCTATAACAAACAAAACAAAACATTACATTACAATCATAAGATATTAATATAATCATAACATTTTGTACATTTCTTCTGTCCTGCTTTCACCAGCAGAAACATTCATGCTGACCAGAGCTTCACTAAATATGCAAGTTTAATTATATAGACGATGAGGAGAGATCGTTAAGTCATTAACAGGGTACCTTGAAATTGGTTCCTCCTTGCATTTTAGAGGCTGATATTTCCTGATGAATGACTGACAGATTCCGAGCAAAGGTCACTAGAGCTCCCCGGAGATCTTCTGAGACAGTCCTATTAACAACAGCCCAAACAAACGAGTTTACTAATGTTCCCTTTGTTGCCAGCTAAAACACAATCACCTCGTTTGTCTGACGGTGGTGGTTAAATGAAACTTTTAGCAGACAACATCTTCAGTCTTTAGGGGGATGAGCACAGCTTGATTTAACTGTTACAGCACTGTGAAAGCTTAAGGATTTAAGTGATAAATATGTTAAATAACCCTCTGCTAAACAACTTTTAGACTTTGTAACAACATTAACAAAGCTAGAGGTGGCATGTTAATCCCCTAAACGAATTGACTTTCCCCTCGTTCGGGAGGAGTCTTCAATCCACTTAAACCTCTACTGTTTCTCATGTGCTCGTCACTGAACAGAGACAGGTCAAGCAGAACCTGAATGTGCTCTGAGTTCTTTCTTCTGGTAATGAATCCCATATAATTCCATATTTTATTCAAACGTTGTGCAGGGATTTAACCCAATAAAAAAATACTTACATCATTCCCATATTGCATCTCTCTATGCTGTCGTAAAGAGCAAAAACAGTCCCTTCCTTGCTCTGAAATTCAAATATATAGTCAAAAGAAGGGCCCCATATTTACATCATTTAGTCTAAAAAAAGTAATATACACATTCAACATTACATTCATCCAACATTGTGAGATATATAGATTGCAGTTTTATCAATAAAGGGTTAAAAAAACATGCAGCGAGAGAGAGAAACCATTTATTCCCTCTCAGTACCAACATTACCCACAATGCAAGTTGGCCAACGACAGGTCACTTTGATCTCATTCTTTTTTTCCCCCTATACAATAATACACAACTAGAACACTTACACTTGAAATTGTATTTTGATCATACACATTGCAGCAAAAGTGTGCATAATCTAATGATGTTAAAAGCTCCCGTGAGGTGCTCTTGGCACCCCCTGTTCTTTTTTTTCTTTTTCTTTTGGGCTTTTTGTGCCTTTAATGTAGAGATAGGACAGTAGATAGAGTCGGAAATCAGGGAGAGAGAGAGGAAAGAGACCACAGGTGGGAAGTGAGCCCAGGCTGCCCGCTTGAGACTACAGCCTCCATACATGGGGTGTGCGCACGATACTGGGCACCTCACCAGCTACCAGAACAACTTCTGTATTTTGGTCTGCACCGGGACTTGAACCGGTGACCCTCCAGTTCCCAACCCAAGTCCCTACAGACTAAGCTACTGCTATCCCTAAACTCTGTGTGCTCATCTCTTCCTGTACATTTAAATGTATCTCATCTTTATTTTAAACATCTAATGACATGTAACTCACAATGACTCTTTGGTGTAAAAGCTGTAGCCTAGTCTGACACCTGTCCTGCAGTAGGGATGACTATCATACAGAAGAACTTTATAGAAATAGATAACCTTCTCTCTGATGGTCTGGTTTGGTTTTCTAAGTCATAAAGCGGCAACACTTTTAATTTCAGTCTGTTTCATCGCTAGTTAAAAACTCCTCACAGGAGCTTTAAAAACACAGTGAATTGTTTTTTGTTTTTTTTTACCTTCACGTTATATCCTATTCCATGAGCCTTGCACATCTTGAGGAAAACATTATGGTACAACATGGAAAGGTTTAAGTGAAATAAGTGACTCCCAAGAACTGCGAAACGATTTTCCACAGGAGTCTGTGGTAAAGGTGAACACAAGAAAAAGAAACAGAGTGTTAGTTCATCATTGTAAGCGTTGGTTTTTCTATTAATCCAAACTCAGAACAAGTCTTGATATGTTCTATTCTATTTAGTGTTTGACTGAAATAGGTTGTGTTGTGTGTTAAATGGGTAGAGTAGAGATGGCTGAACCCCATACACATATCCTTAGGGTCACTTCTGAGTTTGGGGAGTGTGTGTGATTAGTAAACATGATGCGTGTGGGGCACATGTGGTAAACTGTTGGGCCTTTCTTAATTAACTGCAGGCAGGAACAATTAATGTTTAGAAGACATGCCAAATACAAGATGAGCTTAATTGTACCATGCCAATCAAAGAAACTCCGGGTTTGGGTATCAAAATGTTTGCTTGAGACAAAAAGCACGAATGACTGCACAAAAAGACTCACACAATGCAACACAATGAGTGTGTCCAGAGCATGTGAGTGTCATAAGTAACACCAGAGAGGTTGATTACTTAAAAGTGGCAGGGCTCAAGAGGATAAAAATGTTCCTGGTTCCTCTGCACCTTTGGGAGAGGGAAAGAGCGAGTCTAAGCCCCTCCGAGCTCAGGAGAGAGCCAGAGGATAACTCGCTGTGATGGCTGTGTGTTTACAGTTGTCAAACACAGGAACCTCACACAACAATAAAAGTGTCCAACAGGGGTTTAATTGTGTTTGTAATATGCAGGCCCCTAATGATGGCCACTGCTAAAGCCATTAACCACAGCGCTGGCTCAACTGCTGCACTGAAGCGCCAGGCCACAGACTAAATGAATGTTTGATAAAATAATACAAGGCGCAGATTAACAAGCGTAAACTCAGGCATACTGCTAATAAAAGAAGTCTTTTGTTTAAGGCCCGGCACCAGGTTGATGAGGTGTTCAAGCATGCATACACATGCATAATGAAAATGCTATGAATTATTAATGTGTTGATTATTTAGGCTCATCCATCAAAATGATAATGAATTCAGCACCTAAACACCAATTGAGCTCAGTGCGTAATTACAGTATTTAGTTGTATTTAACAAAAATGAAGAGCAAAACATTGATCTATCTTTGTGATTACTGCAGCGGTATAATTATATCCTATAAATTCTTAGCTTCCCTTAGACCTGGTGGTTGTATTGAGAAAAGAAATGAATAGAATTAATTTGTAATAAGGTAAAACGATTCCCCTTCTTTGAGAAAAAAAACATTCAACACTGTTAAAATATGCAAACATAAAAAGGTACTTTGGTGGCAGTCTT